ATCCCATCTTTTAAAAAATTTAAGAATTATTAAGTGTGATGTCTGGTAAACAATACACTAATAAGAGACAAGAAATAAAATTAGATGATATGAATTCAAAGATAGGAAGGAAAGAGTTATAATAAAGATATAAACAAGTAAATCTAATAACTGTTAATGAAAGTTGATAAGATTGAATTTTAATCACAAAATTACTTGTTTTCAAAGTGTCCTTTTTAAAATAGAACAGTATCTTATTATATATTCATAAGTATTTGTTTACATCAATGTTTTTGCAAATCCGAAATCAAATTTATTATTTAGTTATAAGTGCAAGGAAGCACTTATTTTCTTTCCATGATAAAATTACTCTGTAATCATAATCCAGAAATTGTGAAAATATGAATTTATTTAAACATGTTCTCGGCTCACTTTTTTCTCTACACAGCTGAATAACATTTAATCAATTCTAAATTGTCAATTACACATTACACCTAAATATGTGGGAGAATTCATGATTTATTTCATTAAATAAGACCTATGTTCTATTGTTAAAATTGTGTTATACTGTTACTTAAAATATAATTTTGTTCTGGTATGATACATTTTTACAATTATGTTATATTTTAAGGTGATTCTAGTGCATTAAGCTATTTAGGTTCTATAAATATGTAAATATCTATTTTGAAATAAAAAGTATATAATAATAATAATAACCTTTATTTGTGCATACAATGAAAAAACAATGGATGAAAATATACAAAATCTCTCATATGTACAAAATCAACTTAGTTGAGGTTTTGAGTTCAATTTCTTTTTTTTTTTTTTTTTTTTTAATATTTATATTTAACTTGTAACCACACTAGGTAATGAACCTGTCCCATCCTTTTCCATACTTTCCTCTCTAATGCTACTCTCTTCCAGGCTGCTCCTCCGCAGGTCTTCTTCATCTCCTTGCCCCAGTCTGTCGGTGGGCGTCCTCTCTTCCTCACGTGCTCTCTTGGATACAAATCCATAAACTGTCTGGTCCATGTTAATTCATTCCTCCTGATTTCATGTCCGGTCCAGGTCCACTTCCTGATGAGTACTTTTTCCACAGTATATGGAAGGTCAGTCTTAGCTCTGACCCATTTGTTTGTTTTTCTATCCCTTCGAGTTAACCCCAGAAGATATCACTCCATTCCTCTGACGGTTATCCTCAATTTGTTGCAAGTCTTCTGGTCAATTGCCCATGTTTCACAACTATATGTCATGACAGGAAGTACTGTGCTCACCCAAAGTTTTCTCTTGACCTCTGAGCTCACCGAGGATCTATATATATCCTTAAATTTGAAGAGTGCGTGCCATCCCTGGGTACATCGCCTGATTATTTCTTCATTTTGTCCTTTAATTGAAATAAGGTGCCCAAGATGTAGAAATGTATCTACTTTCTCTATATGGTGTTCGCCTATTTTTATATCTCCCTCAACATTCACTGACATATAATTGCATTTTTTATAATTTATTTTCAGTCCTATGTTTTCTCCAGCCTTTATTAATTGTTTTGCCATCGTTAGGATTTCTTCTATATTTTTACCTATTAGGACTTGATCATCAGCAAACTCTAAATGGTTCAGCCACTCTCCAAAAATTTTCATTCCTTAGTTCTGCCAATTCATGGTTTGCATCAAATCATGGAGAACTGATATAAATATTTTAGGAGAAAGGGTATCACCTTGTACACCTTTTCTAATTTTTATTTTTACTGTTGTATTTCCTGATTTATATTTTGCATTGGATCTCAAATACATATCTTCCAGTATCTTGCATATTCTTGAACTAATGTTTCTCTTTTTCAACATATTTATGATAGAATCGGTTTTTAGGGAGTCAAATGCTTTTTCGTAATCCAGAAAAAGGAGGCTCACTGACAGATTATAGTCATTAGCTTTCTTAATTAACTCTTTAATCACAAATATGTGGTCTACAGTAGAGTAATTCTTCCTAAATCCGGCTTGATGTTTTTCTAATTCTATATCCAATTTGTCTTCTATTCTTCTAAGTAGGATTTTAGAAAATATTTTATATAAAACTGAGAGTAGGCTTAATGGGCGGTAATTATTTAAATCTCTCTTATCTCGTTTCTTTGGCAGAATTATGAGTTTTGTAGTTTCCCATTCTTCAGGAAAGCTTGCATTCTTAAGGCATGTATTATATAAGTGAGTGAGTGCCTGCGCTATTATCATTCCCCCAGCTTTTATGTGTGCAGTTGTCAGACCATCAACACCTCCTGATTTTTCTTCCTTACAAATATCTATTATACTTAATACTTCTTCAATGATAATTTCTTCTTTTGGATCCCAGTTTTCTATGTTCTACTCCGTAGTTTTATCTTTTCTTTTATCATAATATAGTTTTTCATAATATTCTTTTATTCTACTATTTATCTCCAAGTTATCATTTAATTCTTGCCCATTTTCATTTAAAATAGCAGTCATTTTTGTTTTAGAGATCCCTATCTCTTTTAGTTTACCTCCTGTCCTAATGGCTTCCTCCATCTTTTCTACTTTCCTTTCTCTCAGCCAGTTCTCAATTTCCTTTCTGATTAATTTGTTAAGTTGTCTTATATCTTGCTCCTTTTTTTTTTAATTTCTTCTTTTGTTTAGAAGATTTTTAATCTTTCTTGGCAGATTTCGACAATTATCGTCTATCTTGGAATTCTCTTCCTTAAACTGTTTAAGTACCTTTTTTAATGAGTTTGTTATTTCTGTAATTTGGGTTGAAATTGTCATCTCTTGGTCTAACTTAGGCAAAACTGATTTTAACTTATCTTCAAAATTCCATTTTATTAGATTTTCTGATTTAACTTTACTGGATCTTCTATTTTCTTTTTTATGTTTTACAATGGTGAACTTTTTATTCAACATTGCCCCAACTGGTCTGTGATCACTGCCAATGTCAGGTTGGTTTAAAACTTCCACATTGATCACTAATTGTTTATTTTAAACGATTATGAAGTCTATTTCATTTTTTGTCTTTCTATCTGGGCTCTGCCATGTCCATTTGTTATTAGGATTTTTTTCAAAAAAGCTATTCATGATGTAAAGACCATTAGCTTCCACAAACTCAATTAGTCTTTTTCCTCTATTATTCAATTCACCTATTCTAAATTTACCCATATATTTTGAGTTACCTTTACTACCTATTTTTTAATTAAAATCTCCGATTAATATTAATTGATTATATCTGTCCTCATCAATTGCTATTTGTAGATCCAAATAAAAATTGTCAATTTCACTTTCTTCTGCATCTGTAGTGGGAGCATAAACTTGTATTATTTTAAGTGTCGTCTTCTGGTCTTTATTTAGCTCTATTAGTAGCCTAGAAATACGATGAGTGTAGGTTTTGAATGACCGTACCTCCATTTCGTTATTTCTATTTATAAGAAAGCCAGTTCCACCTTGCCCTTTTTCTGTACCATTATAATACAGTGTTGTACCATCCTGGTACTCCAAACTGCCTGTACCATATCTCCTCATTTCTGACAGACCAATAAGAGACCATTTCATAACTTCCAATTCGTTTTTCAACTCGGTTAATTGAGAATCTGCCATTAGTGTTCTACAATTATAGATGATTATATCCCATTTTTTCATCTGTGATAATTTTTTAGTTTCCTTTTTATTTATTATCCTGTCGAAATTTCCATTGTCATAACCTATTTTATTAACCTGGTTGCCTATAAACTGCTAAGAATTCGTTACAGAACCAGAGGTTCCTAATATTTTGTCACCCTCATTTGTGCCCTGTTTGAAATATCTCTCCAGGCCGCTGCTTCTTAATTTCAAAGAACTATTTATTTTCTTATTGGCTTGTTTTTTATTATACAAATCTTCTATCTCATTTTTCCGAGGTGACTCGGCCTTATTTTCGGGAGTGGATTCCTCACTTCTCTGTCTTTTAGTTCTTTCTGTTGTATCACTATTCATTAATTCATCCACAGCTGTGTCTTTTGATGCAATTCCTGACTCTATATTATTGCTCGAATCTTCAGATTTTAACTCTGCAGCCATTTTCAGGTAAAACAATCAAATTAAATTAAGTGATCAACAGTTTATTTATTTATCACCCAGCTGTAAACTGATAATAGATAAGTACCTCGATGTTGAACTCCATGATATGGGCTATGTAGTGGGGAGCTGCCAGATCCAGCCGGCAATGTAGATAAGCGATACCTGTCCTGATATTTGTCGGATATTGCTACTATAATTGTACAACTGTCTGTATCGCTATTGTCCCCAAATTTTACTAACCACTTCAGTAACACTTTAACTTTAACTGAGCAAAAAATCGTCGACGTAGGTGTAGAATTTCTAAGCGTAAAACTATGTAGCACAGAGACGATTTTGCTAAGTCAGCGGTCTAGACCAAACTTCCAAAAAAGTGTATAAGAAAACATCATATCTTGTTAGTATTTTCTTAAGTTTATAATTCTTGAAACAAAAAATTTAATGTGGGATGGAAATCATTTATCTTTCACTTATTCCCTTACTTAAATAATTAATTGTCTTCTCAAATATGGCTAGTTATACGTCATTTAGCTGAAGGGAACCAAGAATGAAAGAAGATAACCAAAAACTTTACGCCTTTTGAAGAAACTCAAATTAAAGTTAAATGGCTTTTCTAATTAGTATTTTTTATTTATTTTTTTCACTAACCTAATTTTATTCCATATTTTCCAAACCAAAGATTTTGCTATTATATCAATATATTAATAATAAAAATAAATTATTGTGGTTTGGTTCTTTTTTTCTAAATAAATAAATTTCTTGTATTTGGTTTGAACTTTGACTTGTTTGAAAACAAAGTCCTTAAATTAGCAGACTTGCAAATTTTTCATGATCAAAAACTGTTATTAACAAATGTGGTGTTTGAATGAAGCACGCCAATACTTTTATCATTACATAATTCTGTTGGAATAGTGACAAGCATGCCATGAAGTATGTCATAATGCACTTATTTATACCTAGTTACTCTTTCAGTATGACTTTGGTGGAAGGAAACCCTAGAACAACTGTTTGCAAACTTGCAGGGAAACTTAACCTTATCAAATCGAACGTTGATGAGCACCTCAAGACGATTGAAAAGATAAAAAAGCTTGAAAGTTGTGTACCACACATCAAATGATTACCAAAAAAAAAAAAAAAAACATTATGAGGTTTATGCTACACTTCTTTACCAAAACAAAAACGACCATTTTCTGTTCAGAATTGTTATTTGTGATGAAAAGTGAATACTTTACGATAACAGTAGACATTCTGTACAACGGCTCGAGCAGCAAAACATTTTCCAAAGCCCCAACTCATAAAAAAAAAGGCAATGGTTGTTACTGTTTGGCCGACTTAATTTCAATCCAATCCTTACAAGCAATCGATAACATTACAGAGGCTGTTACTGTAATTCCCACTAAAGGAGCTAGAGTTAACCAAGTATACTTCATATTATTGAAACATCGATTGCAACCAGTATCTCATATTGATCACTGTTTAGTTTTGGTATATTATGAGGTAGGTGTTGGCAGTACTTATTCAATATTCTTACTTTAAAGTAATTTAATAATAAGGTAAAAAAAATATCATTTTTCAAATATTAATTCACTTTAATTACTTTTTGTACAATGGATACACTTAAGGTAAGGTACAAATGGAATGAGTTTTACTAATAAATAGAAACATACACAAGGTATTTGGGAATAAAATTAATAAATAAATGGCAAGACATTTTGGTTCCTTACACTACTTAACATAGTCAAGCAACATTTATGGTATTAATATTAAAAATCAACAAGGAGGAAATATCCTTAAAACATTGCAAAATAGTTTCTAGTTTTCTAAATAATCAAACTACACTAAAAAAATATTCTTGTCCAAGTTACCAAATCTCACACAATGGAATAATAATCTACATTAAGGAGGGGGGAGTTGTTAAAATAATTTAACTTTCGTGATTTTAAACATTACTGTTCCTAAATTTTTCTAATTAATTTCAAACTTGTGATGCATAATATAATATATCAATTGTTTCATTGAAATACTTAATATATACAAGATTAATATTAATATATTTCTATATTTTTTATATAATTTCTAGAAAATCATCTGTGACAAATAAGTATTTTAATACCATTGACATGATTCAGACTTAGCACAGGCTCATTCATTCCTTTTTAACTCCCTCTAATGGAATACTTTATATAAATAAAAGTAAAATTATAGTCTGAACAGAAACTACTTAGCAAGCGATATATACTAGTGCTTGAGCAATTTCTCTAAGATGATTCTGTTGCGAATAAATTATGAAAGACAAAAGGAAATTAACTAAAATTTATACGAGGAAGATTCAATGTTTCAGTGTTAAATAGATGACATTGCTTATCTATAAATAAAAAATGTAGTTTTATAAATAAAAGTAAATTTCAGTAATAATAAAATTCTTCGATAATCAACAAAAATAAATTAATGAAAAATCAAGGATATGACCCGTAACAAAAAATAATAATTCAGAATCTAAATTGCAATTTTAGTTAAAATACTAAGAAGGCAGATTTTGTCATGAAGGGTAATGTCATTATCGCTGCTTTTTTCCTTCTTTCTTTTTCTGTTGCTTGGCAGCAGGCTTTCTATAATACATAAATTGGAACACAATAATTCCATTTCCGAGAGTCGCTAGGAGGTAAGTGATAATAATAATCACATCACCAGTCTCCTGAAAGGATGTGAAGATTCTTGAGGTTGAACCAAATAGCAACATCACACAGGTTGCAGCCGACAGTTGTCCAGTGCCTTTGATAGAGTAATTTGAATAAGCTTGGGCCAACTAAAAAAAAAAAAATTTCTTAAATAAGATCTTTGCTAGTATTTCAGAACTAAATGCAAAAAATAAAAACAAGAATTAGAAAGCCTTTAATCATTAGTGATATATAAAAAAAAATTGAGGATTAATTTCACAGGTCAATACAATTTTCTGGAAATGAAGAACTTTATTTTTAATAATAAGCAACATTGATAAAATCAGCTGCTAACAGAGGAATCTACGTAAGATTTTTATTCTTCAAGGGCAAATATTGAATACATATATGTGGAATTCTTATTTCAATATGTCGTTCTGGACAGATATTCTTTAATGATTATATATATTTATATAATGTATTTAAAACATTACAATCAATAATGAACATATTTGTATTAAATTAATCCATTGTAACAATTTGGTATCATATTAAGAAAATCTCCATAATCTTTTATTGAAGGTGTTTAATATATTGGAGGAAAAAAGAAGTAATTTCATTTTAATATTACTTTCACTTACAGAATCTCAGTTTTCAACGGAAATATATGTTTTGAGTTCTGAGTCAAAATAACCAAGTCCTGCAAAATGGTTTGCCTGAACAGCCTAGCTCAAAAATAAAAAGTCATATGAAACAGAAATAACGTATTTAAGGTTTGTATAGAGCTCAGATGTGACAGCAACTTTTTCGTTAAAATCTGCAAACTGGAAGTGCCACTTTATATTATTGATTTTACACGTTTTTAAGATTTTCTCAAAAACAGCTCGGATGATGTTTATTTAACTCAGTGCATTAATGTATAATTAAGTAATCTTTAATATCATTCAGGTCTTAACTTATTGATGTCACTTAACAGGGCTTCAATGCTCAATGTTCAAAATCTCTTCTTCCTCTGAAGTACCTTTAATTTGGTTTATTTTAAATAATTAACTATCTCTCATTGTTAGGAGTTATGAAAAAAGACTAAATATAAATTTTGAAAGAATTTGATAATTGAATAAAGAAGGAAAAATGCTAATCCAGGTCGAAAATGAATCTGGGAATAACAGCCAAAAGGTAAACGTATAATATATCATTGGAAAGCAAAGATTTTTAGAAAAATAATCTCTAATAAATAAAGTTGTAGAAGGTAACAGAGAGTGACTAAAAAAATATAAAATAATAATTTCTGAAAACTAACATCATTTAACATAAATCACATGTTTCCAAGAAAATTATATGAAATTTTCTTACTAAATGTAAACTTTTAAATTTTTTTTAAAGTTTAAAAAAAAGTATTTAAAATCCAACGAATCAAGGCAATGGCATTTAAAATTTTTTTAACTGATTTCACTGTACTTGTATGAAAGAAGAAGTGAAATATAAAAAGATTTCATGGATATGTTTATAACCTTAAATATATTTACTGTAGAGTTTAATAACTCTACATCTGATATATTTAAATAATTAGATATCTATCGTTCGTTTATTCCAAAAAATCTTCATGTAAACTTTTAGAAAATTAAATTAGTGAATAATTTGATGAATTTTTCCTTTCTGCAATTCCAACAGTATCCACTTACAATTAATAATAATAATAACACTTTATTTATTCTGAGAAAAGTCCCTTTAGAATAATGTACAGAGATAGAAATGTGGGCTTTGCAGCCTCAGAGAATAATTACAAAATAAACTGATTTACATAATGAATAAATAAAAGAAAAGAATATTATTTACCTTCAATCTTCAATTAAAAAAAAAATTAAATAAAGTTTAGCTTTGGCTGGATTAAAAAGGCACTTCAATGATGTTCTAATAGCCCAATATTACCAAAAATAATTTCTATTCAAAGTAGAACAGTAAATGAAAGTTGTGTGTTTATCGCACCAGATTTTATTATTTTTATTTTAGTAGTGAATTCTATGAAGTGAGCTTCACAATAGAGCGTTTACTTTGAAGGTTTTACAGTAAAGAATGGTTAGGCTGATATATTTAAATTAGTTGCAATATTCTATATGACCCTATGATGAGATGAAGGAGGAGGAAAAAATTAGCAGTCACTTGTTTGGAATTAGGTGGGGGTTACTTAATTTTTTTTAAATAAATAAATTTTCCTCAGGTTTTGAAGTAAATTTCTGGATGTTACTTATTTCACATAAGTCTTGAAAATAGATAATCAGTTAAAGAATGATTTAATGGGTTGGAACAATTTCAAACCTAGTCATGAAGATTTGTAGAAATCAAACATTAATCATGTAGCAGAACTGGCCCATATTTAGACTTTAGAATTAAAGTTATATTAAAATTATTTCACATCTCATAAATGCCACCTTTAAAACTGTCATGTCATGGTATATATGTAGGCTACGGAATGACTCACAAAAAAGAATGACGTAAATTAATAATTAATTTGATGCATTATTGGGTTTCATCACATTATATTATAGTTTAAAATGATGTTTTAGTCAGAAATACAGAACAAAAAAACAAACCATTTGCAGATTAATTTCCCAAAATAAAAGACGAAAATTTAAAAGAAACAAAACGTGAAAACCAACTTGTCTTTTCATCCAACTTATTAATATATTGTCAGTTTATTGCCAAAAGCCACTTAGGAAATTATTGATGGATGTAGTAATTAACACCTATGTAAACTAGACAATATTTACTTCAGATGAAAGTAGAGTTCGTCGTTCTTAAAACCATTTAAAGAGGATTTTTGAGAGGCTAAACTTTTTTTTTTTTTTTTTTTTTTTTTTTTTTTTTTTTTTTTTTTTTTTTGTTCTTCCCTACCTCGCCTTTTAGGCTATACGGGATTTTCCCGGGCGGGTAAAATCCCCTCCGGCACCGGGACGCGAACTCGTACTTTTTATATCATCTCAAATCTTTTTATTTTTTTTTTTTTATCATCATCCAACTATACTACTGATACCCCACTTTTCGAAAAACTTTCTTTTTTAATATTCTTTAAGTCCATATTAATTAAGTTGAGGTTTACGAAGTAAAAACTTGAGATTCACCTCAAGTTGTGTAAAAAAATAATGATTTTTTATTCTGTCACCTAAAAGTATTCTTGTTTTCTGCAAAAATGACTAAATTATCTGTTGCAAAGCTTTTATTTCTTGTTTTTCCATGATCTGTGATGTATTGTCATAAACATGACTGCCTAAATACAATTCTTATTTGTAAAAAAAAAAACTAAAACCTCAACTTCATTAATATGAACTTAAAGCTAATTAACACGTTATCTGTGGTTATGGTCCCCGGCATCCGATAGCTTTATATCAGATATAATGATTATTTACATTTGTATCTATCTTTACATCTATCCAACTCTCATTCAAATATCTTTAAACATGATCAATTTAGATACTTCGAAACAATCCTGGCCGAAATGGAGCTGAATATCGCAACCTGAGGACCATTATTGCAAGTAACATGTTAAACAAGAAATTTTTTCAAAAGGGTACCCGTAGTATAGTTGGATGATGATAAAGAAAATCATAAATATAGGATTTAAAAAAAAAAAAGAACTTAGCTTAGTTCAGCCACTCAAAATTAAAGCTAAAAATTGGCCCATTGTTTATATGAACTTTTTTGTAGCTCTTCAGGTCTACCATTCCTCTTATAAAAAGGTCTCTCTACTTATGGGATACCATATATATACATATATATGTTTATTAATTGTAGAATAAAAATATTTTACCTTTCCGAATAAAAGAACAGGTATAGTAACAGCTTGCAAGTTCCAAAGCATATTAACTGGTATAAAATTTGTCATCACGTAGCAAACAACACCATATACCGCAACAAACGCAGCTGCTAAAGAGCTTGAAAAATTATGGTGCAGTACTTGAGCAGCTATTGTTACTGTTTGTATTCCCATAGAAATACCTTCTCCATATGCACTAGAAACATAAGAAATTACTTGTTCATAAAATAAGAACTCACGTTTTAAATTTTATTACATAAAAATATTCAAATCGCCTCACAATTCAAAAGCTCTATCAAAAATAATAAATTTATAAGTGATTCATCCACAGCTATATTATCGATTTACTTATCCTGCTTTGATAAGTTAAGAAAAATTCATTTTTAATATGTGTTAAGTAAGAAGCAATGTATTGATTGTTATACCATTTCAGTAAAGAAAATGTGCCATAGTAGACACATGTTCTATCAAAATGTGTCCGTTTAATCATAAAAGTAGGCAGTCTATACAAATTATGGCTTAAGGGTGACTTCTTGTTGAGAAGTTTACAACTTTTTCCAGTAAACCCTGAAATAACCTTTTATCAAATTTAATATTGAATATTGTATCAGAACTGATAGATGTTTTAAAAAACAGGATTATTTTGTAGTTTCTAATATAACAAATTTAAGTATATCTGCAATAACACATATTGCTGTGTATATCGACAACCTGATAAACTGAAGATTACGAGATTGAGTTCCGGTGGTGGGAGCTTTTAACTGGTATTGATCTCCTGACCCAAGAAAAACCCAATATAACCGAAAAAATGAGTTAGAGGAGACAAAATATATATATATATATATGTATATTTTTTTTAAGAAACTGTTAGATATCATTTATAGCCTTTTATCAAACCATATTTCTGTTTTAGAACTTAAAAATAAGGGATATTTGTGATTAGCATGGGTTTTCCAGAAATGTATCTTAGGATACAGGATTTAAGACTTTTTATCGTTTAGTATGGGGAGGGTGATGAACAATTTATGATAATTTCATTTTTTGACGTTTGGATCAATCCCAAACTTTATTGCCTTTAATATTTTTAAGGAGCACATTCTGCAATATACAAAGAATTGTTTGTTATTATAATAGTATGTTTGTTATATCAGTAGAAAAAAATTTCCATGAAACTTGACCTAAGTTTTCTACTCAAAAGCCCTATAAATTTATGTAAACAGCCCGAAAAGTACATTCATTTCAAAATGACGGCCAAAAAACTTGTACCATAACCTAAATAAATGGACTGATTTCAATAAACGTTTTCTTCATCAAAACTCCTTAAAATTTATTTATACAACATACTTCACCAAAAAGAAGCTGAAAAAAAAGTTAAGAGAGGTGGTAAATTTAGATTTCCTCAATCAATAAGCATACACTTTTTTTTTGTAAGTGTATTCACTTTTTAAAGCTTACAAAATTTCCTAAAGAACCATTGTAGCTGATTTGGTCCAAAGTTATATTGTTCTAAATATTTATCACATGTTATACTGCAAAACTGATATTTTTTTTCCTGGGCTAGGGGAGAGGGTGAGAGATTAATGTCAGCGTTAATAGCTCTCTCTCTTCTCTCTACCACCCGGGTGCGAACTCTTATTAATTTTATCCAGTTAACTTCCGTTATCAGGTAGTTTTGAATTTTGGAAAGTCAACTGAAACAATAGTGATTGTTTTACATATTTCTTAGGACATTACTAATAATGAAAAAAATAATATTCAGGCCATTCTTAGCTATCTCCTTTTATTTATTTTCCTCTGTGACAAGGAAAGTAGGGTTATATTTATAACTATTTGGAGATAATAAACCATTGTGTGATAATTTGCAGTGTTTTTTTTTTTTGTTAATGGACATAAATATGAATGAATTATTACTTAACCTAAAGGATCATGAATAAATACTCATAGAAAAAAAGTAAACAGCTACAGCATAAAAATATATAACAGTCAAATACAAAAGCATTTAGTATGCAAATTAAATAGAAATGGTCCTAATATATTCGTAGCAGCTAATGTTCAGAAGCATAAAATCAATTCAGTTATTTAAAAAAAATGTCATTACTTGTTCTATTAACAAAGCTAATAAGGTTTCTATTTATAGAGAAAAATGAAATTACATAAATAAATTACCTGATTGGAAAAGATCGCACAAATGCATATGATGCATTAACAGTTATAGCGAATAAGTCTGTAAATACATTTATTATGCTAATACCTTTAGCACTCTTATTATTCCATATTTTCAGTATTTGTGGTAACTTCACTATTTGAAAAAAAAAAAAGGAAAAAATTAAGAAAAGTGAAAATTACAAAAACTCAATATTCTTTGCATAAATTAAAGCACAATACAAGAATAGTAAAAGTGTTAATAAATTACACTAATTTATTCAATTCTAGAACTGTAATTTGCAAATAATTTAATCTTAAACTTACCGAAACATGAGCCTGCAATTATGACATAGCCCAAACACTTGCTGACGAAGGCTTTTAAACATAACACTACAACAGATAATACATAATATAAATAACACACAAAACAGATGTTATATATAATAGATTAAATGATGAAAGAGAGACAATACAAAAATGAATATACCAATACTTTCAGGATTCACTTACAATTAAAGAAGTTGAAATTATAAAAAAACTCTTCATAGCACTTCTCGCTTAAAAAGTTAAGAGCAACTTTCTTTACCACTCCTTCCATTTTTCCTCTGGTTCTTTCCTCGAAGTAGTGTCAGAAGTGAATGTTCGACGTGTAATGAACCTTCATCACCCTCGCTCATGAAGGTTACAAATGTTGAAGTGTTTTCAAATTGGCTGACCTCTAGGAGAAGTATTTACAACTATACACCTTTAATGAGTACTCTCTCTCTCCAGAGTGCGTCTCAGTAAATTTGTATCTCTCTTTACTTTTAATATATATAAAATAACTAAATATTTTTGAAGAAAATGATGTTGGCTGTTTTCTATTTCGAATGAATTTTCTTAATTTAACAATTTAAAATAAATTTTTAAGGAGTAGAAAACTCATTTAATTTCATAGTAGTTTCTTATCTCTTTTTAATTTACTTATTATTACATTTAATAGGAGATTAAGGATATATACTTATTTATACAAAACAATAGGTAATTTTTTTTCAACCAAGTCCTCAGATATTACAGTTTTAATAAGGCAGTAACCATATTTTAAAATTTATATATGGTATATACTGAAATAGGTTTTCAGCAAAATTTAGTTGGTCATAGACAGGTTGGTATATATGTTTTTCCCTGGATAAAGTTGCTAAAGCTATGTTCTAAATGCTTTTCCAGCTATTAAATTATATTGAAACTTTGCTTTTGTAAATTTCTCTTCAGTTATACCGACAAGTAATTTTGTTTTAATATTACTGAATGAATGCTAAGCATGTATTAAGTTTATTTGTTCAAGTTTAACTTAATTTTTTTTTTTAATATTTTGCTGTAGGTTTTTTATCATAATTCTTAGCCTATGAAATTTAAGAAATAATGCTCAATTAGTGAAAAAGAACCTCCAAATTAAATTTAACAAACTGAGTTGGCTAATTAATGGTAAGATTTTGAATAAAAATTAATCTGTTTATTTTTTTTTTACTCTGAGAATAAAAATTAATATTTTATTGGTAGAACCTGGTCTTAACTTGTTTTGTATACATAAAGATTTATTATTTTTTTCTTCAACAGATTTATTCAATTCCTAGAAAACTTCTCTTCATCTCACTCTGAGTCTAAGAATTAAGAATTCACATCAATTGGCTTGAATTGAGCATTACTTCAAACACCACCAGATTGAATAAGGTACTCATTTATTAGGTTTAAACTCATGTTCGTAAGTCTTTAAAAACTTTTAAGAAATAACTCCTTATTTTATCAATAATACTTCACAATTCATCAAAGAAAAATAATTTACTTGATTTTTAAAAATTTATCGTGTAATACTAAATCTTTTTTTATTTCTAAATTATTATTCATAAATCGTAATCCTTAATATTATGCTTTTGTATTTATATGCTTTTAAATCTCATTTTGCCTTTATTTTATAGGGAAAAAATATTAAATTATGAATTATTACGGCATCTTTGTGATGTAAAGTAAAAGTATATTATGGGGAAGTGGTTTTGTAAATTTGTTCAAAACACATTCATAGAGCTACATAATAAGTTGACAATCTGAATCAATATTTTTTTTCATATCAGTTATGATTATATAAGAACTGAAATAGGCAGTAGACCTTCTTACATAATTGTCTCTATTTTTCATAATGTGACATCTAAGATTTTCTAGTTACATAATCAAAATTTATTCATTTGTTCTGTTTATTTTTTCAAGTTGAATAAACTTACATGTATCTAAGGTGTACATACACCTTGTATTCATGTATAAACATATTATTATTGAGCGGAAACATCATGAAATATTATATGAAACAACAAATATTTTATCTTTTGATTTATTTTGATAAGATGACCATATATTTATTTTATTGATTTTTTTTTTTTGGTTGAATAAACTTACATTCTGCAAGGTGTATGTGTATATATACACATTATTATTGAGAGGAAACATCATGTAATGATATATGAATCAACAAATATTTTATCTTTTGATTTATTTTGATAAGATGACCTTATATTTATTTTGTTGATTTTTTTTGGTTGAATAAACTTACATTCTGCAAGGTGTATGTGTATATATACACATTATTATTGAGAGGAAACATCATGTAATGATATATGAAACAACAAATATTTTATCTTTTGACTTATCTTGATATGATGACCATACATTTATTTTATTTTATTTTTTTAAGTTGAACAAACTTACATTCATGCAAGCTGTATGTGTAAACATACACATTATATTGAAAGGATACAGTATGTAATGTTACATGAAACAATAAATTTTTAATCATTTGACTTATCTTGATGGGATGACCATACATTTATTTATTTTTTAAGTTGAATAAACTTACATTCATGCAAGGTGTCAGTGTAAACATACACATTTATATTGAAAGGATACAGTATGTAATGGTTGTATGAAACATTTTTTTTTCTTTTGACTTATTTTGATTGGATGACCATATATTTATTTCATCATTAGCATCAGTGTGTCACTTCGGCAGAAGCAGCAGATATAAAGTTTACTCAGTTTCACCAGATTGGAATTATTGGAACAACAGTTAAATGTAACATTGAAAAAATATTTCTCTTCAAGAACATACAAAAAAAAATTCCAAGGTGTAATATATTTTAGTTGGTGCCATCAATGTTCAATAAACATATTTATTATTAGTTATAGTTAAAATAAATGTACAAACAAGTTTTAATTAATCCAAATATTATCAAGGTCGATAAGGTGCATGGGCAAGTTGTCCTGGAATTATTCATGGTATTGTTTACTTATTACTTATTACTCAAATTTGGCTTATTCCCCTTGAAGACACTGAAAGATAGTAGATAAAATTTATCACTAGTGAAAGTTTTGTAAAAAAAGTTTAATTTCTTTTCTTTCAAAACAACTTTAAAACATTACACCTTAAGCTCACCTCATTATTTATTTTTAATCCTTTTATTTTTTAATTCTTGATAATTGATGCCTATGTATCAATTTCTAATATGAGAAAGTGTATATTCCAAATAAATACATTAAAAAGTCCTTTCAATTTCTATTCCTTTTATAAGAAATTTCTGTGTTATTTAGGGAGAAATATAAACTTGGGATCAAAGTTTTGATCGATGATTTGGTGTGAAGGATAATTTTTTAATAGCGAATATTACCATTAACATATAAACATTACGATAAAATATTTTCTTAACATCAACATTAATAACTAAAGAAAAGGGAATTGTGGGTATCAAAATAAATCTATATATTAAATGGGACTAAAGAAAAATTAGAGCTTTGTCTATAAATGTTTATTAAGAAAAACCAGTCTAAGTAAATAACATTCTGTAGTGTGCCACTTGTGTGGTTGATTGATCTTGAATTAATTTTGTTATCATTGGATAATTGTTGATTGTTTTAAATGATCTTATTTGCATAACTGTTGCTCCTGTCTTTTGAAACTCAACTAAGAAAAATAGAAGTTTGTAACATGTGGTAAAATACATTATATATAAATAGTTAAAGTGACCAGCAAAAGTTTTCATCATAGAATGTTAAGAAATAAAAAAAATCAGTAAAAACAATGTTTTTCTACATTTTTTAAAATTTAAACACCTAATTATAACTTCAATACCATTCTTATCAATTTCTCCATAAATATGGCAAATAACCTGTATGACAGCAATCGATCCATATTTATATGTGACAAATTAAATGTTCCTGATGCTAAAATTTATATTTTCATGGAAATAATTGAAACAATCAGCAGTTTTCTTTATTTTAAATGTAAATTTTAGGACTAGAAACATTTATGTTGTCACTGATAAATACAGATAAATTCATGTAATAGAGATCTTATTATAAAACAAATTTTTATTACCACTTTAGATGATGAATTGTTGAAAAATCATTATTTTTAACATTGTATTTTAGAAATAAAAATGTGTTTATGCATTTATATTTATTATTATACATCCCATGTCATCTAAAAACAAGAAATGAGAGCTTTGCAACAATTAATTGTGATCATTTTTGCTGAAAACACCGGTACTTTTATGCTACAGAAAAAACAAAAACAAAAAACACATCATTTTGTTACAAAAATTGAAGTGAATCTCATGTTTTCTTCTAATAAGCCTCAACTTAAATAATATGGACTTAGAACTAATTAAATGAGGAAGTTTATCTAAAAGTATGATACCGGTAGTATATTTAGATTATAATGAAAAATGATCGCAAATAATTTATGAGATTTTAAAAAACAGAACTTAGCTTAGTTTAGCAGTTGAAAAGTCCTCTTTAAATGGTTTCAACAATGACAAACTCTATTTTCGTTTGAAAGTAAATTATTCCTTATGCAACATAAAGGCATCACTACATATTCAACAAAAACATGATACTTAAAAAAACACGAAAATTGGATTTCCTACTTTTCTGCTGATAATTGGTGCATTGTTTATATGAACTTTTTTGTAGCACTTGAGGTCTGCGATCACTCCTTAAAAAATTTCGTTCTATTTATGAGACACTCTGCATAATTATCCAAATGAACTTGAAGCTCCTCTCTAGAGCCCAAATTTAAATCTCTTCAAACATTTATGGGCTTATGTCGATTTATTCTTCAAAATCAAAACATTACATTAGTAAAATATCTTAAAACTAAATTGTTTGAAGAACAGGAGAAGACACTCTTCCAAATAACTTCAAAAATGATTCCATCAATGCCCGAATGCTACTAAAAAAAAGGAACTGCATTCAAAATATTAATTTAAAAATTTTGAGTAAAATAAATTACTCTTTAATCCAACTATGTATGAAAAATTTTGTTGTAATACAATTCTTATTTATATTCACAATATATGTAATGTATTTATTGTTAGACAACTATTTATGAGAAAATTAATAATTAGTAATAAGGGATGTATTGAAGTAATATTTAAGCGTTTAAATAAAAAGAAACATGGAAAAGAATAGTTTTTATTGTTTTTTTTTTATTTTTAGAATAGTTTTCATTTATTTTTCCTATCAGTCAACGTATGAAAACTTTTGCTGGCTACTTTTCCCTTTTTAAAGTTAGTTAAAATATCAAATACTTTTATTTTTAAAAAGTTCCTATCATAATTTGGGTTTGTGTCTAACTACTAAGAAAATAGTACTTCTCGAGAAG